GTAATTTATTTGCTTGATTTCATTATGATGACCACACTGTAAACTCAGTCAATACAAATTTAGTAATATAAGATATTACCCATAGAGCTTATTTTCTACTTTTTGTTTAGTGCTACTGTAACTTTATATAGCTTGTGCCTATTTTGGCAATACCATTACATCTTTAATAATATAATATATGGTATCTTGCATCTGAATCTGTAAAACGTCTTATCAAATTCTTTAAACTCTGGAAGCAGTGGAGCTGCTTTTCCAGTTCCTTGCCAGGCATTTAGGTGATTTCATTTACTCTTTTTTTTTTTTTTTTTCCCCTCCAGTTTTGTTCTGACCTCTCATTAAGGTGCTGGTTTTTAAGTTAAGGAAATTGTCAACTTGAAAAATATACCTCATGACTGTTCTGAGGACTCAAAATTGGATGCTTTCCTGTGAAATATATTTTATCTCAAACAGAAATACTGTGCTTGAACTCAAAATCATTCTAGTCTTAAAGCATACACAAGGAAGAGCTACTGAAAATAATTTGATTTATGTCATTCCACAAAGTATCTTCCTTGATGATGATTGTGTGATAATAGGTCTGGTCTCTCAATGTTATGCTAATTTTAGACAAGTAGAATGAGATAGTGAGGAAGCAATGTTGAAAATGGAAGCAGGTCACTCTAAAGAATCGTGAAAGTAAAAGGGCCAACATATCACGAAGGTTCCTAAGGCAAGAGGCTCTTTCCTAAACACTTAAAAACTCCTTGTAAATGCTAGCATTGATTATAAGGAATGGACTGCTGACCAGAATAAAATTGCCTGGGGAAAAACTTCACTTTCAATTTTTCATTTTTCCCTTAAAACATTTTTAATAAGGGTCACACATGCATGAGCTGCAAAAATATCAAGAGTCTGTAGCTCTCAATATCCTGAGCACCATTTCCCCTTTAGATTGAGGTTTTCCATTCAAATTTGAAACTTTTGGGATCCACTAGGATTGATTTGTACTGTTTCTGTTTGTCAGATATTTTGAAAAATTCCACACACACACAAAAAAATAGCTCTGAAATGGAAACAAAAAATGAAACTTCAAAAGTACTTACAAAACCGTACTTTCCAAATTATGATTCAGAGTGTTTAAAACAACTTTTCACTTGACTTTTTGGAAAATTTCCCAGGTTCCAAGGAGTCTTAGAAGCCACAAGTCCTAGGAGGCCTCTCAGAAAATCCTCAGAGCTGGTTTAATGCTGATAAGTGCTCTTCGCTTGGCTGTAGGTCACACAGCAGATTTTTTTAATACCTGAACAGATGACATGGAAGATAACTGGGAGCTTTTGAAAGTTGTATCATTTCTATCATATTTTTGCACAAATGGGTGGATCTCTGTGGACAGCTTTTGTTTTAAAACACTGGTATTTTCCAGCAAAAAAATATTAATTAGAAAAATCTACAGCATGTTCAGGATTTCCTCTTTCTCATGAATGCCAGTACAATCCAGTTAATAGGACTATAAGTGAAATGGAGTCATGAAGGGATTATTGACATTCCATTTTGAAAAGGCTCACAGAATGTCTAAATCCTGACTGGTAAATTGCTGACACAGACTCTACACTTTTTCAGGGAAAATATGAGATGCCATTGCTGACCTGTGTCATTGCAATGCTGCAGCTCCCATGCAGGACACTTGATGGTGGTTCTATCTTTAGTGCTTTTTCTCCCCTCTTAGAGGTGGAGTGGCTTCCTGAGATGCTGCCACTAGCACAGTCAGAAATGCCTGTTCTTACGTGATGTGGTGATATGATGTCCAAATAATGTTTTTTAAAATGAAATTATTTATGTGGATTTTAAAACACCTGTAGCACAGTCATTCACTGAAAATTTGATGTCACCGTTGCTGGTATTAGTAATAATCTGTTTCCATATCGTGATTCATCTCTGGACCCAGGAGCACTTTAGAAAGCAAAAGAAATACCATCATTTTTATTTCATTAAATGTGAGGGAAACTGAGGCAAGAGTGGTGAACAGACTTATTCATCTCTACACATAAGATTAGCGGAATCCAAGACTGAGCCTCCAGTCAGGCACCATCCATCCTCTACCACAATAACAAGGATTGCCTGAATTTTCAGATCATCCCTCTCCGGTGAATGACTAATGCTATTGAAAAGAAGGTTCTCACATATCTTAGATGTAAAAATTGTTCACAAATATTTATTCATATTTTTAAACAGCATTGTCAATGTGTGGGCACTCTCAGTGTGTGCATTTTTATTAATATCCTGGCACAGGAGCTTCTTGGCAGGCATATTGCTGTAGCAGACAGTTTGATGTTTAATTTTGAGGAATTTCTATGTAAAGTAAATATTTGATGTGCAGCGAGCATTTTGACTTTACGTGTAGGTTTGCCGAGTCAAGGAACATCCCTGTCCCTTTGCCCTTCACTCCACCAGGCTGCCTGCTCTCAAAAGAAATTGTTTGAAATAACAGGTATAGTTAAGACAGTATTCACAATTAAACTGTTTCCCAGGAAGTGACTGTAGACATTATTTAGCAAGGATTATTGAATAGTTAATGTTATGGGTATTCCTCTTCTTAGTACATTTTAAGGAGAGAAATAGGGAAAAACACTCTCCTGAAGTCTAATGATGAGTTTTCTGTAAATGTGTCTTTTTGTCATGTGAGTAATTTGATTTTATGTTGCTACACATGTGAGATTTACTCAGCCAGCCCAAGGAGTGTGGTCAGTCCACACTAAATCCCTTTGTAGGCTGTCTGCAGCTTTTCTTCGCAGTGTTCGACTTTGCCCCTGTGTGGCGAAGCTTTAGTCTGTGGGTAAGACTTGGGGCACCATAGTCGGGTTCTTTTCTTTTATGCTGCATAGGGAAGGATCTCCGTGTGGGCAGAGACAGGGCGATAGCGAGGAGGTGAGAGACAGACATCACCTTGGTCTTTCCCCAGATGCGCAACCTGTCATCAGACCTGCACACCAGCTCTCTGTGCTTCAGATGTGTGCAGCCCGTTCTCTGCCCTCCCCAGTCTCACAGCCCAGCTCTGTCCACACTTATTGCTTTTTCCCAGTGGTTCCAGTAAGTCACAATAGAGAAAAAATTAGAGAACCACAATGGATTAGACAATTTCCCCTCTTAGCAGGAGTACTATAAACCTGTCGTTTCATCTGGCTTGTGTAGGACTGCTTTTGTCAAGTCATAGAACATTGTTGCTTATCCCAATGCCTTTAGCTGTTGGTTTCATTATCATAAGCTTATTCATATGCTTCTAGCTTTCTCTTTTTGCATATAATAAGTAATTAGTGTAATTTAGTATGTCGTTGTTGTTGCTTTTTTCCAGCACAGAATAATTATAAAAAATCCGATATAAATGTAAAGTTAATCACACCGTAGCTTCTCTTACACTTCTGTACATCTCTGGATAAGTCCTCAATGGTGATCTAGGGTTTGACAAATGACACCTCTAAAAATTTCTGTACATACGTATTGATAACATTCAGATGTTCAGCATATGCAGATACTTTACAATATCATGAAGTAAAATAAGTCTTTTTCAGAAGTGTGAGCTAAAGCCAATTAGGACAGCTTCAGTGAATTAGGCAGTGGAAACAATCTAAGAACGAATGCTTGATGTTTAGCTCAGTTAATTCCAATTAAAGCCTTCATAATAATTTTAAAATCTAATGTGGAAATGTCCTGTTGCTATTTGCTCTGTTTTTCCTGAGTAATTTTAACAAGTGACATCACCTAGATTGAATACTTACTTAAAAAAAGAATTTTTGGCGTTTCTATTGTTAAAATTGCGAAACCTTTCCAAAATATACTGAAGCCTTTATCTGTTTATTTAAGCATCCCAGTGACATCACAGACTACTCATGCTTTTCTCCCATATTTATTGTGAGGTCACTAGATACTTCTCATATTCATTTTAGTTTACTGATCTCTGTTCTATATTTTCTCTCTCAAATCTATGTTTCTCCCAGCACATGGACATATATTAATGTCATCTTTGTTTATATGATTGTGAAGATTGTTGTTTTACTTCTCAAAGAGGTAGCGCACATGTGCTATGAGTAAAGTGTGTGATAATCTATGTAAATTATGTGCGCAGAAGCTATACTTTGCCCTTGGGGGAAATGCAAATTAGAACATTTTGTAGTTTGTTTGTTTTTAAATACATACACTTTCACTTCAAGGCTCAGGACAGCCTGCCTATTTATTTTCCCATTGCTCATCATTTGTTTTTTCTTGTAAATATCTCAGTCTTTAATGATTAGTTTGCTACTTTGGCAGGAAAAAAATGCAGGATGAGTTAAGTCCTGCATTTAACGTTTGGTGTATTTTATAGCTCTGCTGTGGGGGAATTATCTGCTTGTAAAAGGGTGTATAACACACAACTCAAAGCCATTAGAGTGATCTGACAGTCTTCATTCATTTTCTCCTAGTGCTGTCCTGTTTTCTTCTGTTACATTAGTGCTTGTAATATTTTTTAATCCTGCATTACTGAAACACTGAGTTAACTGATTTTCCTTATATGAAGTAAGAACATTCATAGAACGTGTTGTTTGCTGCACTTGCAGTTCTCTGCTGATGTAATTTTTTATATTAATAAAATTATTTTTATACTCTTTAAGTACCCTTTCGGAGAAATGTTTTAATGTAAGTTGTCTGATTCTGTTTTAAGTGAAGGAGAAAACCTGGTAGAGGTTGTCTCTTTAAATCAGATCTGCAGTGTTGATGGACCCTCTAGCAGGCACGGTAAGAACCATTCTCACCTCTGCAGCAGGGAGCTTGACCATATAGACTCTCACATTCAATCAAAACGTTTTCCCTTTTAATATGCACTGTACCAATCCTATTCCCATGGTTACAGCCCGTGCTTCTTTGGTTGCTTCCAGTCTATTGGAAAAGGAAGGCAGCATACATTTTTTGTACAGGAGTTTAAAACATCATGAAAGCAACCCTGTTGTGATTTGCATTTTAAATGTTTCTTTTTTTTTCTCATTGTACAGAATGCTGTAGCAGTAGCTTCAGTTCATTTGCCACAGTCTGTCTTCTCTCAGTCTTCAGCCTGGCAATCTGTTGATAACTCCACTTGCAAGCTACAGTTTATTGTCTTTCGGAATGGAAAACTCTTTCCTAGCACAGGAAACTCATCAAATCTTGCAGATGATGGGAAACGTAGGACGGTTGCCACACCAGCTGTTTTTGCTAAAATAGGTGAGGAGTTGTTATGCGTTATTTCTTTTGATCTAAAAGCTACGGTATACTTGATTATGTGGAGAATAGAGGAGCAGAGTATACAGTGCACTGAGATGCTGGAAGCAGTCTCTTTCTGTTTAGTACATTTGTTTGCAATTGTTCCTATCTGCATGATTTTATTCAAATTATCCTTCAAATGAAGAAATGCACTTGCTGTATGAATAGAATGCAAATTGTGGACTACTGTTTGTTAACAGTGTTGTTACAGATGCTCGTTTCTTAAAGCATGGTGCTATTAGGAAAGAGCCTTGTTTTTACAATGAAAATGGCAATGTTAACATCCTAGACACTGATAAAAATAAGGATTCTGGAGTGGGAGTAGTGCCCTGTTGCATGTATCAATACTCACCAGTAGACTTTCTGATACGATGAACGTAAAACAGGTGTTGTGAAAAGCTTTTGTCTAAATGTGATATATCGTATGTGCTAGTGAGTCATTATTTTGATTAATTATTCACCCAGGCAATTTTACTAAATTTATTTGATACTGAATAGTGCTCTCATTTCTATTAACATTTTTTAAATGTTTAAATGTGACTTTCAAAGTGCAGAATTGTCTCACCTATTAATCATACCATGAAACTGAGCTGTTTGCAGTTACATGGGCAATAGTGATCGTAACTGAAGAATCTGAAACAGAAAAAAAATCTGCCTTGTGAAGGATGATTAGATCATTTGGACATATTATGGAACTGAAATGTTCAGATTTATTTATGCTATTGCAAACTTTTCTGAATGTGAGCACTACCTTTGATTTTGACCATTATGAGTATATATATCTATTGCTTTTTTCCCCATAGTTTAGTGTATCTGATCTCTTTGCACAACATTCATCAATAAAGGGTTTTCCACTTCATCTCTCTGATTCAGTTTGTTGCTTTTGCAGATGGGTGCAGTTTTGGAAACCTCACCAGCCCTCTTACTATAGGGTTGAGGCACTTTGCACGGGGTATAGACCCCATTGCAGCCTTCTGGGATTTTGACCTTCTAAATGGACATGGAGGCTGGTGGGGAGAAGGGTGCCACATAATTAGTTCTGCAGGCAATATTACCACCATTCAGAGTACGCACTTCAGTAACTTTGCAGTGCTAATGGTAAGTATATGACTTAGCAAATACACCTATATTTCTCTCTCTCTTTTGCCATACATGTGTGTTCTTTTGATGTGCATGTGTATCATTCTTACTGGTCAGTAACTGACCTTCTGTTTTCTGTAATGTTTAGTGTAAGACAATCGTAAAGAAAGAAAGTTATTTACCTGCTAGTAAATTAATAAAGCTGGTGGTCAGTTTTAATATCCAGACAGGCCTAATCAGAAATGACATTAAAGTCAGTGTTAGAAATGAAAGTTCCATGAAGGAACGATTAGTATGTAATGCTTATAAATTATAGGACAGGGTTTAAAAATGTATACTCCTGTGTGCTTTTACATCAGCACATCTCAGAGGCTGGTCTGCTTTTGTTCCTGCCCTGCACTGTGTTGATCATACTAATTAGTTGCAGGCATACCGCAATGTTGAATCATTTAATAAATGGAGAGGAATAACGTCTTCTGCTCTTTTAAGTAAGGACAGTGCCGTCCTTGTTGATCCTGTAGGAGTTTTAGTTTGTATACCAATGCTGATAGCCTTCTTATGAAATTGCTGTTCATGAAGAAAAATATTTCTGTGCAGTGCTAACACAGCCTGCTTTGGTCTGTTCACTCACACTTACAGTTCCCATTGCAGTTATTTAACTATGCTGCTTAACAGAAAGTTACCTTCATGAAAGCAAAAATATTATGCATGCAATAATGATCTGCTATTATGCAGGGAATAAAGGCAAGTGAAAAGAAAATAGCTTTCTGACATATATAGGTGAGAAAATGTTTGCACCATTAAAAATATTTTTTATAAACCAGTTGTAAAAAGATTAGCCAGATGTGTACTATTAATACTGGATTGATCCTGAATGCTGGTGCATGATTGCACTGTAGATGCTGCTTGTGTACATTACAGAAATGTTTATAGTTGAGTAAATAATCTATTGTGTGTGTGTGCAAGGGATGGCAAACATAGGCGACAGGAATTGCGAGGACGTGTGCAGAGAATACCAATCTGCTGCTGTCAGATGGAGCCCAGATGGCGGCCAATCATCGCACACGGCTGTGGCACCCACCAGTTAAATGCGGATATTATCGGCCACTTCATGAGAACTGATTTCCCTCAGAGTTACTTGGATGTTTTTTCACCCATTTCAGAATTCTTCAGAATTTAAGAGCTGTTCCTAAGATTTGACGACATCAAATATACCTCATTTTCTACAGCTTCTATGCGTTCCCCTTTTCCCCCAGCAGCATGTTTCCCTGAAGGTGAAACATGATTTCGCTTTGAGGATGTTTTTCTAAATTCATTAAAGAAGGCACCTGTTGGCTTTGCAGGTGCCACACCCAAAATGGCTTCCTCCTTCAACTGCCTGAGTTCAGCCTGTTCTTCTTAAACTTTGGGTAGTTATTAAGTTTTAATTACTTGCTTGCAAACAACCAATTTCATGGTTTCGTTTTGTTTGCAAAAATCTTACAATGCCACTTAATTTTTGGTTTGTGAAGCCAAATGCACGTTTATCTCTGATAAGGTGTAGCAGATTGAGTTTTCTACAATCATAAAGGCAACTGAGGCACCTTTTACTGCCGTTTTTGCATCTGGTATGTAATTCTGGTTTAGATCTTGTGGCGGCGTTTTGTTATGGTAATTCAACTTTGTTTTTTTTCCCATGTGCATCTTCCACTTTTATCTCTGCAAGACAAGGAATTAGAATCTTGGACTCACCCTTGCTTTGCAATTGATATGGTGGCAAACAATGTGGTATGTTCCTTAGCTTGTGTTTTGCAGTCACTTTTAAGGAAAAATATTCCTGACCTCAAGTCATTTTAATATGTATGTATATATACACACAGACAAGCGTGTCCTAAAACAGCTGTCTTTATAAACAGGTATTGGAAAAGTTTTGCAGCGTTGTTATGTGCAACCATTTTCATTCAAGTGTTCTTTCTTAATCGGTGTATTGTGGCATAAAAACTATGCTTTTCTGGGCAGTTCAATTCTCATACTAGAAACGAAAAAAAATTCCTCATTCTGCTTAGCTATTAATTTATAATATGAACGATGTAAAGTGCCTACGTGTATCTTCTTAATTCACACCTGAGTGCCTAATATATTTTAAAATACTAACAAAATGACAGCAAATCGGAAATAGCTAGCATATGGTATGTAGCCAATTAAATTAGCAACAATATCATGATACACATTATTAATATATAATTCTCTAATCTATTAAACCATAAAAATTTATAAATGGTTATTATATTTTGGGGTAATAGCAGAAAACTAAAGTAGCATCTGTAAACTGAAGAGCAGCAATAAAGTGACAGTGATGAAGGTTTACATTACCATCAGAATAATGTATTTCATGCTGTGGAACAAGATGAAACAGAAGCCTCAGTTAATCCAACTGTCCATTTTATAGCTAGTACAGCACATTCTGATTTGTCATCTTTTTAAATAGTAAGAGAATGTTCCCTGAACTGCTTTTATAAAAGTTGTTTCTGCCTATGAACCATAAAAGGGTTAAAATTAAGGTTTCATACAGTCCTTTTTTTAGAAAGACAGTAATCAAGGATTTATCAACTACAATTGATAATTAATAAGCATGAGCATACTTCAAGTGAGAGGATTCATGTAGAGCCGTTTCATTTCTCTCTGTGACAGTTGTTCAAGTGATGTCAATGAGAGAGAGAGAGTACAGTTTGGAGGTTAGGTTGGAAAAGGAGATACAAGCTCCTTTCTTCACACTGCTCTCACACTTTCACTCTGCTCTGGGTTGAGCCCGTGGATGGAAGGAAAATAGTAGTGTCAGACATAATCTTTTGAGGCATTATCTTTTTCTGATCAGCTTTTGAATGGTATGTCCTAGGAGTGAGAATAAAATACTGTGAACTAAACTCCTGAGTTATATTCCTGCCTTTCCCTTCATATACTGTGTGTTTAGACCAGTCTTCTGTTCTGTCTTTTCTTCTGTTATATGTAGGAGGAAGAGAAATGGTCACACTCCAGTTTCTTTTGGAGGTGGCCAAAGCCCTCTAGGATCTTGAACTATGAACCTCTGCCATATGATTTTCTGGTTTAGACCAAAATTATGAACTTATGTATTCTGAAGCTTTGGTATATCTAATTATAAGTATTTGTTCTATAAATACTATGTATTTGTGAGCTGAGCTGTATATCAATATTTTAATTTTTCAAGACAACGTTTGTGTATGTTATAACCAATCTATTGCCCTGTAGCTGTAGTATATCTAAGTGAAAACTCTTCAGGAGATAACAAAAATATCCAACAGCAATACTGAATTTCAAAATTTGCTACATATGTTTTGACATGTATTGTCTTTTGTTCTTCCTTTCATTTTTCTCAGAACAGAATGACAATTCAGTAGTGATGGTGGTGGTGTTTAACCCTAGCTGGCACCTAAGAACCACACAGCTGCTCATTCACTCCCCCTCAGCAGGATGAAGGGGAAGAGAATTGGAAGGTTAAAAGTGAGAAAACTCGTGGATTGAGATAAGAACGGTTTAATAATTGAAATAAAGTAAAGTAGTAAAAATAATAATAATAATAAATAAAAGGAAAATAACAAAAATAGATAAATAAAACCCAAGAAGGACAAGTGGTGCAAAAGTAAACAATTGCTCACCACCAATCAATCGATGCCCAGACAGTCCCTGAGCAGCAGTCCCCTCACCAACCTTCCCTTATTTTTTTTGCTGAGCATGATATGTTTTTTTTGCATATGATATGGAATATCCCTTTGGTCAGTTGGGTTCAGCTGTCCCAGCTGTGTCTCCTCCCAGCTTTTTGTGCACCCCCAGCCTACTTGCTGGCGAGGTGGTGTGAGGAGCAGAAAAGGCTTTGACTCCGGGTAAGCACTGCTCAGCAGTAACTAAAACATATTATCAACACTGTTTCCAGCACAAATCCAAAACATAGCTCCATAGTAGCTACTATGAAGAAAATTAACTCTACCCCTGCCAAAACCAGCACAGGTGGATATTACTGTATTTGTATACAGCATTTCCTTTTCCCCTTCAGACTGCTTTGTCAATAGTCTGCCAAATGAACACTAGTAAAATTCTTAAATCTAAGTATGCTACTTCTCAATTAACATAAAATGGATTAATGAATATTGTTAGCATTTTTAATTGTAATCCTGAAGATAGGCTAAATGAACATCAGATCATAAACAATCCCTTTCCTGTTTTATCACAATGTATCTCATTATTCCAAACAAATATAGGTGGGGTTTTTGCTGGATTTTTTTTTTCTTTGTGAGTCATTATTTGCAAAAGTAGTGTACAGTCAGTGATGACTATTTGAGGTAATTAGGGCTGAGGAGACTGAGCTGACAAAAACAGGGCCAATTTGGAACTATTCTGGAAACAAACCTTGGAAAACCCTGTGAATGAGAAATTGAGGAGAGGCAGGATACTAGGAACGGATCATGCTGAGTTAACAGGATTTTTCTCCTGTTGTTTTACAAGCATTCCCTGAATCTTTTAAGTCTTTCCAAATTGGTAGGATCATAGTACCCCACAAGCTACATTCTCAGTATTTTCAGTGTGACTGGAGACAATTGCAGAATTTCTTAGGCCTATTCATGAAGTTCAGTTCTGAAAACAATCTTCTAAACTTCCATGTTTCAAGTCTTCTCCAAATTAAACAGCCTGTCTAAGCCTTTTGAGAAATTAATTCATGAGTCAGGGAAGTATTACAGAGATGTCATTTAGAAGGTTGACATAATTACAGTATTTGACATTTTCCCCATAGAGAACACAGGGTTTTCTAGTAACAGGCTGTGGAAATGTGATTCAGTACTTTGAAAAATCAGGCTGCTTATAAAGAGAGGTTTAAGGGTAAACTTTTCAATTTTTTTTTGTGTTTAAACACCTACTTTTATGCCTACAGAATAGACCTGAGCAGAGTTTAAGTGCCAAAGACTATAAAAGTGATCCAGAAAGTTTACCTACTGTCCACAAAATTAACATTTAGTGTAGTGGGAACTGCAAAATTCCCTGGAATTCGATTCCTCTGCATTTTCATAGATGCTTCCCAGTGTGAAGAGATAGATTTCTATGCTCTGCTGTCACTCAGAGGCCTGGCAAAGAAGCACATACTCTTCACCTATGTCCACAGCTGGTGTGTACTGCTCACCTAACGGAGAATGCTTAGCCCACATGGACAGCATTGAGACCAGCTTCCCAGAAAAGGTCACTTTTTTCAGAATATTTCTGAATGTGCCAATCTTTGCATAAAGCTTTGGACTTAGAGTACTCATAAGAGCGAGATCTGGCTTTTATTCCTTTCTCTTTGGATTACATCTACTTTTTATTAAATTACACTTAATAACATGTATTATTTCCTCTGTAAAATGCAAAAACTGAATTGGTACTGAGGACAAAAATCCCGGTTTGTCTTCTTCAAAATGTACTAACTTCATAACAATTAAGCCTCTGGCTCAAGCTCGCTCTTTCTATTTGCTCTTGCTTTCTGCTGGATTAATGGATCTTGTATTCTTGGTGGTGCAGCTTCAACCAGAGGGTAAAGGCATCCAGACTATAAAGGAGCTCAATAAAATGGGCCAGTTCTTGGCAGATTGAAATGTAAGTTAAAGATCTAGAATCTGGGTCTTGTGCCGTCTTGGTGGCTTCTACTGAACTCCTTCCAATTTGTTGATGTCTTTCTTGTACTGAAGTGTCCCAAATGGGGGACGCTACTCAACATTTGGTCTCACAAGTGGTGAATAGAAGGGAATAATCACTTCCCTCAGCCTACTGCCTGCACTCTTGCTAATATGGCCCAATATGCGGTTCATCTCATGTTGTCGCAAGGGCTCACCATTGCCTTGCTTTCAATTTAGTGTCCACCAGGACTCTCTGATCTTTTTCTGCAAAGCTGCTTTCCAGTCAGTTGTCCTTCAGCCTGTACTGTTGTCGGGGCTACTCTGTCCCAGAGACAGGAAACTTTTTATTTCTCTTCATTGAACTTCATGAATTTCCTGTAAACCCATTCGTCCGGCCTGTTGAGGTCCTGCCAAATGGCAGTCTTGCCCTCCAGCACATCAGCTACTCCCCCTCGATTTGCACTGCAGTGTTTTCAGCTCTCCATAGAGACCCAACTCTATGGATTGTTTCTATATTCTGGTGCTCTTAAACATCCTAATATTTGGCACCTCATTTTTAAGTTTTGTTTTGTTTAAGTAGGAGGAATTTAAATGCAAACAGGAATCTAAATCTTACCATAACTGATTGTTCAAATGCGCTTATTTTTCCAAGTCTCTTTGGCTCTTGTATACCACTTTCTTGCGGAATGCAATTTCAGGTGGCCTGCTTCAAACACAGAAACCAATTAGACTATACTTTCTAAAGTCATATATTACAAGCAATATGTTAAAAATAAATGTTTAATTTGCCAATATAAGTAGATGGATTATGAAAATTGACAACACAAACTAGATTGGTTTTAGCAGTTGTGATTTTGTGAAAGTACCAGATATTTAGTATAAGTTTACTGTGTCTTCTCCCTCAGATTTCTCAGCTTCTGCTATTAGATGTCGCAGGGCTGCCTTTGGTATGTAATTTGTCTATACCTCTCTATGCTTTCATATTGTGTTTTAACTGATCAATACAGATGTGTCTGTTTCAGTCAATTTTTGGAATGAAATCTCAAGTAAAAATTACAGTCCTATTTGCACTCTGATGTTTCTATAATTCTGATTGTTGGATGAAATAGCTGATAAAAAGTCTGTTCTATCACTAATTTCCATCACTAAATTCTATTGTGCTTTTTACACAGTGGTGGCATTGACAGCTGAAAGAGCCTGATTGCACACTTTCTTATAAGGTTGAATGAATGACAATTTCTCATTAGACAACGTTTTACTGGTCTTGTAGTTGTAGGCAGCAGTTTGTAATGGTCAAAGTCCTGTGTGTATTCATTTTCCTGTAGATAATTCCTGCCATTTTCCAATATCATCATCATTTGAATCTCCTCTAGGAAATAAAACCAAACCTACCTTTTTAAAATGTAACATACAATTATACTGCTTTGCATACAGCATGAAAAAAAATAACTTTGTTTCCTGCGTGCTGTCTTCCCCAGAGGATTACGCAGAGGATGGTTGACAGATCAATAAGGTTTAATTATGGTCAAAAGCAGACAAGATAAATTTATTATATATCTATAATGAAATCAGTTTTCAATATACAAAACGCTTAAAAAGGATATTCTACATTGGTAATAATGCATTATGATACTCAAAAGTTTTGCCATTTATTTACAAAATTAGAAAAGAGCTAATAATAACAAATGAATATTTTAAAACGGAATTAGCTTTGAGATGCTGATTGTTCTTGATTCTTCTACAGGAAAAATTGCTGTATTCCTGTAGGACAATAGGACATTTGCTTTTACACTGATGTTCAAACATAGTGATTGGTTAATCCTTGCATTTACACTATTAAAAGCTAGTTCTTTAGCACACTGAATTGTGCCACTTCAAGTAAAATCACTTCCGTTTGTTGCTACATAATGTGTAGCTTCACTCTATTTCCTTTTCACAACTTTATCTTTTCAGAGTATTTTTTTTCAGAAATATCCAAGATATTTGTTTCTTTAAATAATAGCACTGCTACTACTATATTTGTTATAGTAACAGTTTTATTAATGCACAGAACTGAAGCAAGTGTATACGTAAAATTATGAAAAAGTGTACTATTGGTATATCAAAATATTGTTTGATCAGTAAGAGCTAGAACTAAATATTTTCTCTTTTTCGGAAGAGTATTTCTGTTTAAATTGTCCAGTATTTACATTACTACTCTTGTAGTATGAACTAAAATTGTACTGAACATTTCTGGTAAATAACAGTCTACCACAAGAAATTGCCTCTGTAAAAGAGTTAATGAGGAGATGATACAAATAAAAACATGGAAGAAAAGGTGTTCAAAAAAAGGGTGTTTGAGTGGAGAACCAGTGGCTGTTCTGAGCCAATAGACTTTTAAATAATTGTTTGAAATTTGCGAATTCAGTATATCCTGAAAGTATATTCATGTACACTAAAAATAAAAAAATCAAGAGAAAGCCTCAAGAGCATAGATCTGTCATATTAAAAAGCTATTCAAATTGAAAGACAGAGTTCTTTTCCTCTTCTATTTCACTTGTCATTGAGGGAAGCACAGCAAGAGATGTTAGGAGATAACACAAGGATATCTCTGTGGCAGGTGACTCCACTTCTGAGTCCTGGTGAACTGGGCAGGACTGAGACAGGACTTGTGTGTGGGACAAGTGGTGTCTAAGCAGATTTAACTGATGTATGCATACATACAAGGAAGTACTTTAAGAGAAACAGGATGTGAGGACACACATTTGTCATCTTATTCATACGTTATTTGTTCATTTTGATGGTCTTTTTTATATATGTTGTAAGCTGCTCTGTTTTAGAACTGACATTAATATGCATCTGGAGAAACTGGTACAGCAATCTTAGGAACTTTAAAGCTAGTATGAAGTAAAATAATGACTGCTAGGGCGTCTGTTACTTGTAAGGACCTTTCTGCAAGGTAAATGGAACAGTACCTTTCCTCCTGATTTAATAATTGCATATACTTATGAACATTAGTTGCTTGTACATGGACAAGTTCATATACATAAATAATGGTGTTGGAAATCAGCTCTCTGCATGCAAATGTGGTTAAAAAAAATGTGTTACCAATACAATCCCCAGTCTCCAAAGGGGAGATTTCACCTCAGGAAAATAACGTATTGAATCTTCATCCAGTGTTAGAGTTTGCTGGATTGCCATATTCAGTACTTTTCCAGATTTTAGCTTTTCCTGTGCTGGGATGTGTATTCATTTTTGTATGCACAGTTAGTGCCACTGCACATGGAAACTGGCATGTAGATGATGCTATTTTCACTCAGGTTTATGTGTCTAATTTGTAGTACTTGTTTGCAGAAAGGTAGTGCCATAAGCAGATGTGACAATGTATTACAGTGAACCTCTAATGTTTGATTTAATTCAGATAGTCTGAAGACATACTGTTTTGGTTTTTTTTACTGTTTTTTGTAATGGGCACTGTTTGCTTTCCATCCATCACACCTGCAGATTTAGCTCTCCTATTATTTCTTACTTGTGAGATCCAGTAATTTAGAATGGGAATTTGATATGGTTAATTTTACGAATATCTTAATAGTTTTTCATTATGTTTTACATGAAGAATTGTGGCAGTAGGAGGTCCAAAAGGAATGCATGGATCTTTACTGTTAATATAGCTGTCAAGCTGCTGTTGAATTGATACAGGTAGCAGAGTATTTGCAACTAAGTGTGAAGGTCACTGGTTCAGAGAAGATGTATCAACTGGGAATCATATTTGAATATAAGAGCGAGTCAGTCGATATTTTGGCTTTTGTTTCTTTGAGTGGTTCTTCTGCAGCCATGTGTATGCCATTTAGAGACCTTTATGGTAATTTGATATTTTGTACTTAATATCCTGGTAAAATACGCACATAAAGTTCATGTTATCAGAAGGAACAGATACTGCTAATGCCTGGAATATGGAAAAATCTGTGTATTTTTCAGACCTTTTTTTTAATTAGGATATGTCTGCTTGTAGAAAAAGGTTAATTTCTGTCTTGCAAAGTGTATTCAGATGAGGAAAGAACAGTTGGATGTTATTGTAAATTCATGACCTGTATCTGCATTAAAAGTTCATCATCTTATTTTTCTGCTCTTGAGAGGGAACAGCTAGAGATGACAGGACATATTGAAGTGAAGTCTCAGATTTTCACACATGCCTAACAATGTTAAATCATTTTGCTTTCTCCATAGGATTTTAAGACAGTGCTGTCTTTCCCCCAGTACCCAGGGGAGTTTCTGCACCCTGTGGTATATGCATGTACTGCAGTTATGTTGTTGTGCCTGTTTGCTTCCATTATCACCTACATTGTCCATCACAGGTAAGAATTCAATTTTAAATACTTGTGTTAAATGGTCAACATGATGCTGAGGTGCTTCAGTTTTTCTAACCCTGACTGAAAAGATAATTTAAAATGCTGTGTATTACTGTTGGATAGTAATATCAGCAATGTGATTTAGACCAGCGAAATAATATTTTTTTTTTTAAAAAAAAAAGCTCATGTCAACCTTCCTTAAGCTGTTCCCAAGCTGTATCTTTCTGAGACGTATGTCTACATGGTGTACACACCATTCCTAAGATTCCTAACTTGACAATTCAATATAAAACCACGAGCACTATCAAATTGCTGTCTGGCAAATTCCAGTTAAAAAGCAGCACTTTGGACAGCTACACTGGCGGTATTGGCTTCTAAGACCAAGTTTGGTTGAAAGATTTGGTAAGTATCGTTGGATAAAAGAAACTTTCTTTGACTTCTAAATCTTTTTGATTTTAGAAAACTTGTGTTTTCCTCTATATGAAAGATTTATATGAATGCCATTTTAACTACATACTTCTGTTAAAGACCATTAGCAATTTAAAAGAGTAGAAATGTATTGTACTGTAGAAGCTGCTAAATATTAATTAAGTGAACTTAATGCAATGACTTCTGATCTTCAGCTTCCATTTAATCATTTAGAGATGTCTTGTTAAAGCTCTGCATATCTGAAACTATACAATAAAACTTTTGCTTTTATTACTCTACTTTAAATGCTTGATTTGATGGAGGAAACTAAGTCAGTAGACCCTTTACAATTTTTACCATTAATTTCAATGCTGTATAAAGCAGACTCTGTCCTATAGGTATGTTAGTAAGTAGGTATTCAAGAATCAGAAAATTTAATTCTGCCATATTAAGCATTTTTTCCAAAGCTTAATTTTCATAATAGATATGTTGGATTTTAATTTTAAATTTTGATTTTTCAACAGCACAATCCGAATAAGTAGAAAAGGATGGCACATGCTTCTCAACTTCTGTTTCCATACTGCTCTTACGTTTGCTGTTTTTGCTGGTGGAATCAATCGCATTAAATATCCAATTATATGTCAAGCTGTAAGTACATGCCTTAGTAATTCTTAGTAATAGAATGAAAACCTGAAACTGTGTCTTTTAACATAATATTGGTATTTCTCTTTCTTTTCATGTATTGTTCCTGAATCTTAAATTCTTTCGGAATAAGTCATCGTTATAAGCATGTCTTTTAAAGGCCAGCACTGGGAGCGTTTAGTGTTTGGTTGTCACCTGAATTTCTGTGAGAGGCTGACCAATGCATTAACTTCTCTGCAGCTCAGATTTCCTTATTTAAAAAAAAAAAAAAATCCCTGAAAATCGTAGTATTTCTCTATTCTACCAAATAGTTGAAAAGTATGATTCCCAAATATTTCTGATGTCCTTTCTGATGTTTGAATTGAATGTGTGGAACTAAAGTTACTGCTGCTTTCTTGTAATATATATCCCAACTGCCTGAGGGTGGCCCTGGCTTCACTGGGTGATCCCTAAATATATACTTGGGCAGATTAATGTTAATAGTATGATTATGTCTTGTAATTAGAACTCAAGTTAAGGAGACAAAGCAGACCAGTACTCTTGCAATTTATGGGTCCCTGTTTGCACTGCTGGACTATTTCTTATCTCTTGCTTCATCCTTTCCGGCGATATAGTGCCATGAGATGCACAGAGAGGGCATGGCTCCAGCTGCTCTGAATATAGAGGCTGGCTGTACAGTACATGAAGAGAGCCGTTTCGGTCATCTTCTGTAATGCCTGGTGCGGGCTTTTTGCAATTTTTTCATCTTAAATATTTCTTCCTCTCAGATTTTGTGGAAGTGCTCCAGATCTCATGAATGTTGTTGGTATTCACCTGTAGTAAAGCACTTTACTAAGCCAACACCCTCCCCAATATTTTGCCTGTCACTGATCTGTTTCTTCTGATTGGCTTGAATGAGTGTAAACTGGAGGAGTCAGCAGCCAACAGCGGAGTCACTGCCAAACTTGCATAACAGTTACCACTCTAATTTTCAGTGAGATGCTTGGGAAGCCTTTTGTGTATACTTATGCATAGAATCATAGAATGGCATAGACTGGAAGGGACCTCAGAGATCATCTAATCCAACCTCCCTG